TGGGACAGCTACTGCCAAATTACACTCCCTTGCAGAGACTAGCACACCAACTCCTGCTGGCCTATGTCTCTCGAGAGTCTAGGGAGGAAAATGTCATCAGTCCCACTTTTGGGGGGAGAAAATTAAGAATCAGAACTATGAAGGTCCTCTGACTCCCTCTCTCATGCCCTTTTCATTCTATAGCCCAAACTACCGACGGCAGGGCTTTAATTTCCTGGAGGGCTTGTTAAAACAGATTGCTGGGCCCCACCCCAGACCGATTCCACAGTCTGCGGTAGGGCTTGAAAAGGTGGCCATTTCTAACAAATCCAGCTGGTGCTGCTCGTCGGGTTTAATGCCGTCTTCCCCTCAGGTGGCCCTCATTGGACCCGAAATGCAGCAGACCGCACTCAGGTACCGCTGACTCCTGTCTCCTCAGCACTGGCCTTGGGATGCACTCCTCTTCCCCAAGGACTGCACTGTCTAGAGACGCAGGCAAACGAGGGAAACGAGGGTCTGGGCTGACCTTTGCTCATTCCCGTCCCGGGACAAAGAGCTATTCAAAGGGCAGACTCTCGGAGGAGCCCGAGCACACAGACATCCCCCACGGCTGGAGGGCCGCCGGTGAGACACCCCGACTCCTTAGGTGTGGCTACCTGGGGTCTCAATGGAAGTGGCTGCGCAGGACCCGGCCACAAGGCGCCGGACCCCGCGGGGAAGGGCCCCTGACCGCGGGCCCCTGGCACCCTCCACGGAGCTCCTAGCGCGGCACGCACACCGCCCGCCTCCCTCCATTTCTCTCCTCCATTCGACGGCGTGGTCAGACGCACCTAGAAGCCCGTCCCCCCTCCCCCGAAACCAGCGACTCCCAGGACCACTTCCCCAAACCCCAAACTCCCGTCCTCTCATAACCCACCCAGTCTCCTTCACATCGCCCCAAGCCCTAACCCTCCCCCCAAATGCCCGTCTTCAATGACATCTCTTTGTCCTCTTCACCACCACCCACTCCCACGTCTTACAAGCACTCGACTCTGAGACATCCCCCACCCACACACATATCTGCCCCACGAGCCCAAATGCCCTTTCCCGGCTTCCCAAAAGCCAGGGGCCTCCCCAGGCCCCCACCCCAGCCAATTTTCCACCCAAGGCCCTTCCCCCACGCCCGGCCCGGCCTCGCCCCCATCCTACTCCCCAAGTGCCTCCTCCCGGCCGCGACAGCCCCTTACCCGCCCACCCCCCCTTCTGTCGGCCCTTTGCCCCTCTTCTCGGTCTCTGCCCGCTCTCTCGGCCGCCCGGAGCTCCAGTCGGTGGGCACCGCCCTCCTTACCATGAAAAGCCGGAGGACGCCGGAGTCTCCCAACCTGGACTGAAAGAGGCAGGAAACACCCAGCTCGCGTGAGCCAGGGGCGGAGGCGGGGCCGGGGCGGGAACTTCCGCTGTCCATACCTCACTTCCGCCCCGCAGAGGGCGCTTTCTTAAAGGATCCGCTGTACTCCTCGACGGGGGCCGCATTCTTTCCAACATGCCTGGCTGGAATAGGTTGCATCTCCTCTCTGCTGGGTCGGGCGTTGGTCGCGCTCCTGATTGCCCCACTGTTTCAGCTTCCAGAGCGGAGAAAAAGATTCAGGGAGGTTGTCATTCTCGGGTGGAGAAGCTCTCCGGAACTGTCGTTGGCCGGAACTGGAGAGTTGTTTCCCGACGGAGCTCGGAAAAAGAACACCCCGGGGCAAGATGGTGGTGGAGTCTCAATCGCTGCCCCGGGTCCGGCAGAGCTCAGGGGTATTGGGCTGAGGCGACAGTCGCTGCGGTTCCGATCCCGAGCGCGGGGGCCTCGAGCGGGTAAAGGTCTGCGGCCTGCGAGTAGCGAGCGGGATCAGGACCGTGGGTGCACTGGGTGGTGGGGCCGGGGACCTTAAGGGAGGGTAACCCTGGGGCAGGGTCCCCGCCTCTCTTGTCGGAGGGGCAGGTGCTAGCGGCTGGCTTCTCTCTTTTCATTCGTGGGGCCTTTAGAAACGCACTAACGCCGGATGAAAAAGCTTTGTTATTGCGGTTGATGCCAAGGGAAGACGCCAGGTCTTAGGAGTCGCTGAAACCCGAGTTCGAATCCTCTTTTCTCGCTGGGACCTCGGGTGAGAGCTTCAACTCCCTGAGCCTCGGCTTCTTCCGCTGTGAGATGGCGTGATTAGCTCGTCTCACGGAGCGTATTGTATAATGGGAGTTTTAGTGCCGTGCCAGTCGCTCAGCTGTCAGAAACGGCAGCTGGAGTCAGTGATCTCGGTAAAGAAAAGCTTGTTCGACATTTGACTGACTTAGCCGCACGGGCAGCCTCGCATTCTCAGCTTTTCTTTGCTGTTCTGTGAGTCGGGGACTCTCTGGGTCTTGTGTGTTTCATTTACAAATAATTGCTTTGGAGTCGGATCTGAGTTCAAATTCAGGAGCCTAGCGACCCCTGACAAGTCCTGCCCCGTCTCCACATTTCATTTGCTCCCCGAGAAGGTGAGATCGAAAACGGCAGCATCTGGGTTGTGGTCATTGGACTGGCTGCCCAGCTCCTCCCACTAACGAGGCAGAATCCTTCCGGCTCGGCCAGCAGTTGGTATTTATGGCGCCTCACCCTTGAACAATACTCTTTGGAGTTTCCTCTCTTTCATAATTCTCCATGAAGTTGGCCTGATCCAGAAAAGGCCGATTTTGAGCAGGTCCGGTGGGAATACTGAAGTAAAGGGGCGTCTGGGTCCTGTTTCTTATGAAAATAGTGTCTGTGACCCTTCCTGATGGTCTGACCTGGGCTATGGGAGATACTAAATGATCTCATGGGGGTGCTCTCTCATGTTTTCCTTTTGCTTTTCATATGATCTTGATGATCACCAGCCTCTTGTCTCCTAATCGTCCCACCTATGTCACTGTTGTTTTCCTAACTGGATTGCAAGCTGCTTAAGGACAAAACAGTAAAGCTCACTTATATGCTATTCGTTTCCAGATGCTTTTATTAATATTTTCTCATTTAATGCTAATGACAGTGTCATGATGACTGAATTGAGGTACAAGAAGGGTAAACATTTCATTTAACCTTAATTTAAACCTTTCGGCAGCCCTAGGAAGTAGTTATGTTACTATTATGACTCTCAGTTTACAGATAAGGAAACTGAGGCCTAAAGAGGGCAAGTAACTTGGCAAATGAGGTAGAATCAGAACTAAAAAGAACCAAGGACTGCTTTGTCCGACCCAAAGCTTTTTCTGTCACACACAGCCTTTTCTTTGATTCTCGGTGGCATTTGCCAGCGTTCCTCCAATAACATAGTTTTGTTCGGTGTTGTTTCATTATAACATTGATGAGATGCCATAGGAACTTAACTCTTGTTTATATCAATTAGCCTATGGGAAAATTGGTTTCATTATATGTCATTTTGCCCCAGTTCCAATAACCTATAGACGATGCTAACCAAGCCTTGCTATAGTCTGACAGGTACTTAGTCTTAGTTTGTGTGCAGCCTCCTATTTTTCCATTAGGATGAGGCTCCCTCTTCTCCCCCACGTATGAGGGACTGTCTACATGTTAAGGAAAGCACATAACCACTTTGCTCCTGGCTTGGGCCCAGCTCCTTTGCAGCTAGCTCTCAGGAGCTTGAAGCTATTACCCAATCTGATCAGGGCCAGGGGTTCACTGCCCATGTGAATCTTAGCGTACCCAATCCTGTCTAATGGGTGAGGAATGTAAGGGTCCCAACATTATCTCCCACCCCAAGAACCTGAGTGACAGAAGACTAAAAAAAAACAAACGAAAAACTTTGTGTCTATAAAAATAATACATTAGCTCTGGCGGGATGGCTCAGTTGGTTTGAGTGTTCTATACACCGAAAGGTTGTAGGTTCATTCTGGGTCAGGTTGGGGGTTTGATCCCTGGTTGGGGCGCATATGGGAAGCAACCAATCGATGTTTCTCCCTCTCCTTCCCTCTTTCTTCCACTTTTCTCTTTTCCTCCCTCTTCCTTGCTCTCCCTCTCTCTCCCCATCTCCCTTTGTCCCTCTCTAAAAATCAATAAACATATCCTCAGGTGAGCATTTACAACATTTTTAAAAATAGTAATAATAATACATTAGACTTACTGAGTGTGCTCGTCAGCCACCTCAGTAAGCTTCCGGAGCGGAGAAAAAGATTCAGGGAGGTTGTCATTCCCGGGTGGAGTAGGTACTTAATGTACATCATCTCATTCAGTCCTCATGCTTGGCCTCTGAGCTAATTAGTGGAGGAAGACAGGCTCTGAGACATCACCCGGCAGTACATGGCAGAGCGAGGGAGTGCCTCTCAAGACCATGCTGCCTTGCCACGCGCTTTCTGTAGGAAACCTAGAAAACAGACCCGGTAAAGAAGCAAAATTTCCCACAATGCCATGCTCTCAAAACAACCACTCTTACGTAACATTCTGGTATATTTCCCCCCCAGTTTTTTCTCTGTGTGCACTTTTCTTTTTCATGTAATTGGAATCATACTGGTTCACACAATTTCTTAGGCATAAATGATTTTCAATGTTGTTAAAAATGCCAAACATTTTCAGTGGATTTTTAATATTCTATCCCGTAATTCTTGCTTACATCACAACGCATATAAAGTTTTAATTCATTAACTTCTTTGGGATTATAACTTCTTCGAACAACACAGAGGTTGGGGCACTGACACCCCCGCCCCCCAAGCGCAGTTGAAAGTCCATGTATAACTTTTGATTCCCCCCAAACTGAACTGCTAATGGCCTACTATTCACTGGAAACCTTACTGATGACATAAACAATCAATTAACACATTTTTGTATGTTAACATATAATATACGGTATTCCTACAATGAAGTAAGCTAGAGAAAAAATGTTAAGAAAATCATAAGAGGAAATACATTTACCGTATTTATTGGGAAAAAAATCCATGTGTAAGTGGACCCATGCGTTTCAAACCTGTGTCGTTCAAGGGCCAACTGTATTTTCAACCAGTTCCCTTTAAACGGTGAGGACTGTGGTGCTAAAGGTTAACAACATTTAGACCAGACATTAACTAAAGAGAACACAGTGTTGTTGTTTTTTAAACCAGAGGCACTGTATTACTTTACTCGGTGAGGAAGATGTATGATGCCCTACCTATAAAACTTAACCCTAAGTCTGGATTTTTTTTTCTTCTGCTTCTGCCAGAGAGGACAAGCTCCTCTGAAATGAGAAGCTGCCCGTGGCCGTGAGTCCGCTGCGAGATCACTGATGATTACTTGGCATTTCTGGGACACAGGCAGGTCCTCAGGTGAGCTCTCTGGACTTCCACTGCTGGGGCCAAAAGAATGAATGATTCAGAAGCCCTTCTTCTCGCCATCTTCTTACTCTCCCTCCTATGGTCAGGCGGACTTTGCTCATTTGTTCTGAGAATTACTGATGAGCCATGCATGTGTTGGAAAAGACTTGTTTAACAGGATGTGAAGCAGTGTTGAAAAGGGGCCACAGAGGTCCCTCGGTATATCGACATGGGAGGAGTCTCCCGTGACCCTGTCATTCTTGATGATGTTTTCATGTAGGTGCTGCTGTGAGTGAAGTAACCTAGTAAAGAGCTTGTCTTGAAGTCTGGATTTATGATAACTAGTTCCATCTCTCTCCCTTCCCTTCTGTAAAAAATCAATAAAATATATATGTTTTAAAAAAGCATCCCTTTGGGAAAAGAGTTATTAGTGATTCAGGTAAAAATGTGTAGCCCTGGCCAGGTGGCTCAGTTGGTTGGAGCGTTGTCCCATGCACGAAAAGGTTGTGGGTTTGATTCCCAGTCAGGGTACACACCAGGGTTGTGGGTTCCATCTCTGGTCGGGGCACAGATGGGAGTCAACTAATTGATGTTTCTCTCTCACATCGATGTTTCTCCTGTCCTCTCTCTCTTTAAAAAAAAATAAAGTATCCTCGGGTAAGTATTAAAAAACAACCAGTGTAAAGGGTCATTTAGAGCCTCTATCCCAAAGTTCCAGCCAGCGGAGGGGAGAGGCTCTGCTTTAAAGGCGTCAGTGGTCCTTGGGGGAAAGGATCAGTAGGACACAGGAATAAGTTACACATAAAACAAAACGTATTCAATTTAATAGATTGTCTTGCATCCTGAAATCACGCACCTTTGGCTTTTTGTTAAAACGATCCTTTAAAAAAAATGAAACACTTTTTTTTAGTGCTGGCACAAGGTAGGTACCAGTAAATATTCACTGAATGAATGGATGAATAAAAGTAACAGTGACAGTCAATATTCACCTTTGGTTTTCCCCTCAAGTCTTGACTTGGCAAAATAAAAGCGGACTGCTTGGTGCTGGCTTCCCAAATACTGTGGACTGCTCCAAAGAATTCAAATATCTAGGGACCCCTGACTTAGAGGACGCATGGCTTGCATTAGAAGTTTATGGATGGGACCGAGTTGTGCTTTGTTCATTCATTAAACGATTACAGAACCCATGCCCTAGGCCAGGCGCTGCGCATTTTCTCTCAAGAAGATGTAATTATTTAATACAGGAAGCAGCAGTGCTGCTCTGGTGAGTTGCATGAAAAGAGCCGATAGGAACTGGGACTTGTGCCAGGAGAGCTGTTAGCCCTTTGGGAGGTGGTGGAGGGCCCTGGGTAGTCTCTGCTGCTGCCCACACCCCTGCCCACCCTTTGCTCTTGAAGCCCTTGCTGTGTGTGTTTCTCATACAGTGATCTACACCGACGGCTCGCCATTTCCCTTGCAGAGTTTGTGCAACTTTGCAGACATGTTCACCGTTTCCCAGACCTCGCGAGCATGGTTCATCGATAGAGCCCGGCAGGCTCGAGAGGAAAGGCTTGTGCAGAAGGAGCGGGAGCGGGCAGCCGTCGGGATCCAGGCCCGCGTGCGGAGTTTTCTCTGTCGGAGGCGACTACAGAGGGAAATCAGGTGGGTTCCAGGAACTCCTCAGCATGTTTTCTCTTGCTCCCAAGCAATAGCAAGAAAAGAAGGCGTTTTCTCTAACAGTTCTGAAAAAGCCTTCTGGCTGCTGGGAGCTCCTAATGAAAAAAGGTTTTTTTTTGTGTGTTTTTTTACCCTTCCCTCCCTTAGGAGAGAGATCGATGAGTTTTTTAAAGCAGATGACGCTGGGTCCAGTAGAAGAAGTGCACTTTGTATTTTTAAGATTGCCAGGAAACTGCTGTTCTTGTTCAGAATGAAAGAAGATAATGAGGTAAAATAATAATAGCAAACATACATCTCCTTTCTGTCTGCCAGGTCTTTTATAAATGCTACGGCACCCTGTCCTTAGGGCAGCTCTGCCACTCCCACATCCTGCCCTTCGTCTTCTTGGGGCCTGATTTGCAGGGTTACGCCCAGTGCTTCTGGACCTCCTCACAAATCTTTTCTCATCGACTATAAAGAGCACTTGTTGGACTCAGATGCATACGGGGTCCAGGGAGGTTAGGGGCAAGACTGACTTCGGACTGAAGGGTCCCGGGTTCAATTCGTCAAGGGCA